AAACGAAAAGTAATAAATATGATTAGCAGGAACAAGAAATTTTCATATTCTGAAGAAAGTGGACTCATGAATATGCCTTATTCTGATGTAAAATTCTGAAGAAGCCACAATATGCGAATTTCTCAACGTGATTAGTAGGAACAAGAAAATCGCATGTCAATAATCCAAGGCATAACAAAATTTTAAGGATATGGGTCCTGTTAAAAAAACCATAAACAAAATATATATATATTAACATAAGAGTTACCTGGACGTAGAGGGATAAAATTTTCATCTTCCATTGTAAAGAGATGAAGAAGTCTTCAAATATCTGCTTGAGAAAATTTGATTAAATTGGATTTTTCCATTCCCTCAATCAGGATTCTGCATCTCCTAGCCGATAGAAGGATTTGGAGTGAGTCGAAGGATGAAACCTAAACAGGGCTGCTGGCACCTGTTTAATCGAACGATGATACTAATGTGATAGTCTGGAAAATTATTAGGGTCAAGACAATTTTTTAATCTTAACCGTTAATCTATGTTTAATCTTATCCGTACAACTCACTTTGTTAATAAACTTTGTCAAGTGACTTTGTTAAGGTAGCATTATTCATAAAATAATAATACAATTGAAAAAATTGATGGAAATAGAATGCATTAATTACCTTTGACTTTTCTGCCTACTATTTCTAGTAAATAGGATGACTTTTTATATAAGTATAGATTTCAATGTAATTTTGAGTAATATTTTGAGATTTTTTTATCTTGACTGGATAGAGATTATGTAGTCATATTTTACATATAATTTTTTAACATAACAATTAACTTAAATTTAATTTAACCCAACAATTCTTAATTTTATCAATATAACTAATGTTTGATCTTGTGCATTTGCACACGTGTAAATAAAATATTATAAATTATCTATAAACATAATATTAAAATAGTTAGATAATTGTATTATATTTTTAAAAATGTAATAATTGGTTAAATTAATAATTAGCATTAATGGGATAGGATGGATTAATATAAAGATAATTATAATAATAATAATAATAATAACAACAACAACAACAACAACAACAACAACAACAACGTAACAACAACAACAACAACAACAACAACATAGGATTGTAACGAAAAATAATTTTATTAAATGCTTTACTATAAATTATATATATATATATATAGGTTAAATAATACTAATCAATCATCCTCAAACATCACATCAATTTTATTTTAATATTTATTCACTCATATAATTTTAACTATTCGTCAATTCCAATCATCTCTCTTATACTTTGACATCAAATCAATTTTTAATCATTATATTATAATTATTATTTTAATACAAACTTAAAATCTCACTCAAACCTACCTCAATCAACTTTTTCAAAATTAACTAATTAAGGTTATTCAACAAATTCAATCAAAACCAAAAGGACTTATATCCAATCACTCCCTCTTGCATTTATAACTTTTTAAGATTTTCAAATTTACGAGGAGTTATATGAAATTTTAAGTATGGAGGTGAGGTATGGAGCGAAATTTTGTATATCTTTTTATTTATTTTTTTTAAATCTCAACAAAGTTTAAAAAGTCTTAACAAATCATAATCTCAATAAGTTAAATTGCCTCGGAATTTTGTAAGACTTTAAAGTCGCAAAATAATGTCTCGAGACTTTTAAAAGTATTCAAAAAGTCTAAATTAAAATACACCAAAAAAAATATAAGTTTTAAAAGTCTTTAGAATCTCAAACGAATACACCACTTGATTTTCAAATTAAAATATGGCCTACGAGAATCTTATATTCTACATATTCCTACCATTGAGAAAGAGAGAATAAGGTTGTAATCGAAGCCAATTAAAGCGAATTTCGAACCATTTGATATGAATTGAATATAAGCGAATTTCGAACCATTTGATATGAATTGAAAATATTCAAGTATTCGTATTCGTATTTAATTTACTATAAATTTAATTTGTGATATAACTCGATTCGTTTAAGATAATATAATATATTCGATCAATTCAAAATTATTTTTGAATCAAATATATGTATATTTCGATTCAAATGCGTAAACATTTTTAATATAAAAATCTATTTTTATTTAAATTTGACTTTAGTTTTCACGTATCGAATTAAAAAACTGGTTGTTATTACAACCCTTTAACTGAGACCTTGATTTTGAGTATGGTATCTCAATTATCATTGTAATCCTCTCCAAGTAAAGGTGAGATTCTTAACCCTATAGATGAGTCCATCTACATTATCCCACCCGTGTGAAAATCAAACGAGAGAATAAATTAAACTAAAATTATTTTTATGAAATTTTCGTTTTGCAAAATTCAAAGTATTATGCATTTTATAATTACACATTTAAAGGCTTAAAGCTCTGCCATATGTGATATAATGGCATACGTGTGATGTTCTTGAGCCACATGATTCGAGTTCAGGGAGGCAACAAAGAATCTCCGCCACTCGTTTATATACAATTGTAAGCGTTGACCTGATCGAATTAAAGATTTCTTGCTGCTTAAGGAAAATGAAAAATGAATTTATCACTTATTTTATTTTATTAATGAGAAACTTTTTGTCTAGGATCATTTGAGTAAGATATGCTGTGAAGTCAACAATTGACTTATAGTGTAATCAATCTTCTATATACAATAAAGAAATCATACCATATTCTCTAATTATTTAAATAAATACTAATAATTTTATTAATATAATATGATTTATTTGTTATATATAGAAGGTTGGCTTCATGGAACCAACTATCTATACTTATATAATAAGAATTAACATTTATCCAAAATAGTAGATCAAATTATGGTCAATGTCGGATTTGCATTACATATTTTCCAAAACCGGTAAGTTTTTGTCCTTTTCACACTTCTCATTAATTATGTCCTTTTCACACTTCTCATTAATTATGTTTTTTTCACACATCTAATTAAATCATTCCATATGAGCTTTTATCGTTAAAATGTATAGCGATCTGTTATGACCTTATTCCATTGATATTTCCATGAAACGTCCTTATCGCGTTCTATTTTTTGGTAACCACTCTATATCAACAACGGGATATTTGGTTAATAATAGCACACGTCTTTATTTTAAGGAGCGGATATTCTTTGACCTTTAATTAATCTGAACTGATTGCCTTGACTTTTCAATTTTTAAAAACTCTTTTTCTAAAAACTCTTTTTTTATCGCACGTTGGTCTTTTCCTGAAGAAACTCGTTTTTAGTCACGGCCAATTATATGTTGCTGCTTCGCGTGTAAATAATAGAAGGGGGTTGAAAATATTAGATTGTGATAATGAGGAGTTACCAAATAATCAAACTCATAATGTTGTGTACAAGGAGGTTTTTAATAAATTATGATTGTTACCAAATTTTTTATTAACTATGTTCCTATATATTTTAATGATTTCAATTTCGATCCTAATGCACGTGAAATTGTATTATTCTTCCAAATTTTACATCCCGTGCATCGCACGGGTTACGTACTAGTTCACTTGATAGCAAAATTCTTATTTGAGGTGCCGTTCAGAAAACAAATAATAAATAAATATAAAACCAGTCAACAAAATAATAGTAAAAATATTAACGAAATCCATGTTCATGTACTCACAAGTCACATTTACGTGTTTCGCATGTTCTGCAATTTCTTTGAATATTCTTAGATGGGTTTGATTAGTATTTTCAGTTTGTTTACTTTAACTTTTATAGGGTTAAAATAAATAGGATATTAGATAGAAAACTAATTGGTAGTTGATAAGTTTATTGATAGTTTATAAATAAATTTTTAAACTTATAAATGATAGTTTATAACTGAAAAATTAAATTATATAATTAAAGTGTTTAGTAAAATTAGTTGATAAATAAGTGAAATTAAAATTTCTATGATTTTTTAGAAAGCTTATTAGAGAAGCTTATGATATAAACTTCATCATCATTAAAAAAATTCGTCTTACCAAACTAAATTTACTTAAATATAAGAAGCTTATAAATTAAATAAATAAACTATTCTAAAATTGAACAAAGAGTCACAAAACATTCAACGATCAAATATAATTAATTTAAAGCATTTATGTTAAATGACATAAAAATAATGCATAACATTTTCAAAATACGCAAAGTACTTTTTTTTTTTTAACTCTAAGTAGCTAAAAGGGATGTTATTTGCGACATAGTAGCCCATGTTCGAGCTTGTACTCGTTTAATGATGAATAGAATGTTCTATTTGAGTTACACTTATTTAAGTTTGTGAAAATTTGGCTCACCTCGATTTGATTCATCTCATAAACCTAAAGGAGTCGTTTGCCAACATAAACTGCTAGTTCACCTCGCCGCAGTTATTTTATTCAAAAAATAAAAAAGGTAATAAAAAAAATAAACTGTTTGAAGACAAACTCAGATAAACTTGTTTAATAAAAAGACTCGACTAGTTATCTGAACTCGACTCATTTAACTAACAAATGCGGAATTCGAGCTTTCACAAACTTAACCAAATTGTTTAGGAAATATCTTAATTTGAATAGTAGCTCTATAGATAATTTCTTCCAAAGTCCATTTTATTGGTAGTCACTCCAAATAAAAAAAGAAATAAATAAAAAATAAAAGTGTCAAACATAAATAAAAAAAACGTCGTGATTGACCGCAACTGAAGCGCGAATGATGTCATTAACGGCAGGACAATTATGTCATTTTATGTTGCTCGCCTGTGAAGAAATTGAGAGTTTATATAACAGTGAAGCTAAAGTCCCATGGCAAACGCTGAGCAATTTTTTTTTTTTTTTTTCTTTCTTTTTTTCTTTCTAAAATTTAAACAAAAAATGCAGAACCTGTAAAATAATTTGAAAAATACAAATAGTATAAATATATCTTCTGTTATAACGGTCGAATTTTAGGAAATTATGGAGGATTCGTCAAATGGGCCGTCGAGTTTCTGGACTCAGGCCAACGCTTTGCTGAGGAAGAATCTGATTTTTCAGGCGAGCTTTTATTTTTTTATTATCTTTTTCTGAATAGTCGTCTCCAGAAAACTGAATTGATTTTTTGATGGGCTGTGTGGAGCAAGCTCAAATATTTTTTATCGTTTTTTATCGTTTGTTGTGGTTGATGTTATTTGGGCGCACTTCTTTTTGCTGGTTCAGTGTTCATTCATTTTCTGGAAAAGATTATGAAGGTTCTCTAGATTCTCTGCCTTTGGACTTGGGTCGACTTTACTCTCGCGGAAGCTAATAGTTTGTAAATGAACTTATGAACACAGACGTAGATTGAACTCTTTGGCCGAGCAAAAGTAAATAATTTTTTGGGTACGAATTGGTTTGTGAAAATGATCCTACCATTGCAAAATGAGTACCCCGTAATCTGATTGATTTTGTTTAGCAAACGGCTGGTTTCATTTAATTTTCCAGAGCACATAGTTTCTAGTTTATTCTGTAATTGCAGTGATTTTGGCTGTTTGGTCATAGTGTAATTAGAAAAATATCATCCTTATTGCACTAAGGATTCCGATGTGTGATTGATGTAGAAATCAGAACGTAGAATATGCAACAATTGACAGATAAGAGTACTGATACAGAACTACACATACATGTAATAATGACTGGGGCTGTGATTAGTGGTATTTCGACATACATCAGGGAATAAAGCTGAAATGACTTTCATATATCACAGTTACGAAAATGTCGTAAGAAGTTAAAAGGCTCGAAACAGTCCAGTTTGAACAGCTGCGTCTCTTTAGTCTTTACATTAAACTTTATGATTTTCCTCCATTTGATTCATTCTGATTTTCTATCTCTTATTGGATAAATTTAATAAGCTTGTTTGATTGTTTACGGTGTCATTATCTCGAAGTGCAAATTTTAACATTTGAAATGTCTTTGCTGAAGGAAAATTACAGTACTTTGATCCTACATTGCTCTCATGTTTTACTAAAATGGATACGTCCTAAATGCTCTCTTTTTCCATTTTTTTTTCCTTTTGATACAGAAAAGAAACATCAAGACAAACATCCGACTCATTCTATTCCCGTTCATACTCTGTTTGTTGCTTGTTCTCATCCAACAATTGGTGAACAACGAACTAGATAGTCCCTCAAACAGATGTGGCTGCACTTGTGTAGATACTGGGAATGGCCAATGTGAAAGAAGGTGTGGTGTTGAGTACTCAGATTTGGACCAAATCGGCTCCTGTCCCATCCCTCATCCCCCACAATGGCCCCCATTACTACAGTTACCTGCCCTGCAGTACCGTGCAGTGAGAACAGATGTTATGCCATATGGAGACTTGCCTGATGAGTCATGCAGAAGAACAGGTTCCTGTCCGGTAACTATGCTTTTTACAGGGAATAACCGAACATTTGGACAAAGTATGATCTCTCTCTCTCTCTCTCTCTCTCTCTCTCTCTTATCAGTTGTATCTAGAGCACGATGGGATGTCTTGATTTCTTTTATCCTGAAACTCTCTCTCTGTCTCTCTCTCTCTCTCTCTCTCTCTCTTATCAGTTGTATATAGAGCATGATGGGATGTCTTGATTTTTATCATGAAATTTGATAGGTGTGGCTGCCAACTTGTTTTCAACACCATTAAATATAAATACCTCAGATGTACTGTACAGCTTAGCAGATGATGCCTTGGTTAGTCACGTTTGTTTTCCCGATTCGTCTTCTTTACATTTTTTTTTTCCTTTTACTTCTGTGATAATTGTTATGGGGATGATGGTGTGCACTTCATAACTTAAACTTCATATGGTTCACTAGTCTTTGTCTATGATAATGATTTGCAAACGGGATTTCTAATGTTTCAGGGTTCAGAAACAATGACTCGTTATACCAATTTTATTGACGAAGCTTTTTTCTCCAATGAGATTGATATTCTTCAAGCTCAATGCACATCGAATTCTCAATTTGCTATTCCCCTCCGGTTAGGTTCTGTTACATTACAGCAAGGTGAATTTACATTTAATGAGAAGACTGCTTATGATCATTATGTTTGAATTTCTCATTTAGTATTTCTAAAACTTATGTTTGTGTAAAATTCAGATGTACGTTGCATTCGGGGACTGCGTTTATGGCGTAATAGTTCTTCAGAGATAAACAATGAGCTATACAGTGGTTACAATAGAGGGAATTCAGAAAGGCGGATTAATGAGATTGTAGCAGGTACAAGAGTATGGTTGTGCAACAAAAGGCTGGTTTAGTGTGAATCATCTAATTCATTGTTTGTTTGGTTTTGCAGCCTATGATTTTATGAATTCAAATGAGAATCTATTCAATGTTACTGTATGGTACAATTCTACATATAAGAATGACACAGGCAATCTGCCTATTGCCTTGACACGAGTGCCTCGTGCGGTGAATTTGGTACCTAAATTCTTACTCATCTTGTTGCTTTCAATATGCTCACGTTTGCTCAATTAGTAATTCGTTTTCTACAATAAATGCGGTCAATTAAATCTTTCAAAATTGGAGTCATTTTGTTACCTGATGAGCAAACAAACAAATTTTCATCATCCGATGCAAGCACCAGATATTATGCATTGTTACTTATCATTTTGTCTCCTGAGTTGATGCATTCCTCAAATCTGAAACATGCATTATGGACATAAGCAGAAATATATTTAGTTTGTTATTTGTTGGAGACTTCTAATACTTGCAACCTCAGTTTAGTATTCATATTCAACTCATCATACGTATACTCCTTTTACCCTTCTCTCTCCACCTTTTAACATAAATTTCAAGGAATCTTAAGTTTTCTGTTTTTTATCACATACTTGATTTTTTTTTTTAATTTTTTTTTTTTGTAAAACATATTTATTCTTCAATGCCTCACATAGTCAACTTATAATTTTAGCACATGACAATCTCAAGTAATATGCTTGGTTGTGGAGAACAAGAAAAAATAAAAATAAAAAAGTTTGGAAGCTGCTGATTTAGCGTATGCGTGTACAGGTATCAAATGCCTATCTCGAATTTCTGCTCGGTCCAGGTACAAGAATGCTTTTCGAGTTTGTCAAAGAAATGCCAAAACCTGAAACAATCCCCAGGCTTGATTTATCTTCTCTCCTTGGGACGCTGTTTTTTACATGGGTTATCGTACAACTGTTCCCTGTAAGTTGACAATTAAATGTCATCCCCTAAGAAATGCAGTATCAGTTTTAACCTTTTCGAATGTATTTTCCGTATTCTTCCAGTAGGCTTATAGCTTTCAAGTGTCATTTGTCATCTCATTCACTTGTTCTTTGGTTGCCAAAAAATGTTCATGCAGTTTACAGTTATGTGCATCTTGTTTGCCTTTTCTGTTCCCATATTTCCATATTTTCCACATACCAATATCAAGAATTTAAGCTTGTTGTCCAAGATACTGTTATGGATTGAACTCTTATAATCTTCCTTGCAGGTCGTGTTATTATCATTGGTTTATGAGAAACAACACAGACTGAGAATTATGATGAAAATGCATGGACTTGGTGATGGGCCATATTGGATGATATCGTATGCATATTTTCTTGCAATATCTTCGATCTACATGTTATGCTTTGTGATTTTTGGCTCACTCATAGGTAAATTTGCCTGACTAACCAATTGATGACGGTTCTATAATTCTTTTGCTGCTTCATGAAGTTATTAAAACCACTGACGTTTTAACTGATATATTTAACTTTCAGGTCTAAACTTCTTCCGGCTAAATGATTATAGCATCCAGTTTGTGTTTTATTTCATCTACATAAACTTGCAAATCTCTATGGCTTTCCTTGTTGCTGATTTGTTTTCAAACGTGAAAACTGCTACAGGTAACTACAGCAGAACAATCTTTTATTCATCGACTTTCATGTCCATCATATATATTTGGTTATTCTTTTCTTATGATAATATCTCTTGATCTTTCAAATACATCGTTATTCAGTTGTGGGCTATATCATGGTGTTTGGAACTGGGCTCCTGGGTGGTTTCCTTTTCCAGTTTTTTCTCCAAGATTCTTCATTCCCGAGTAAGTGAGAAGTGGTCTTACTTCATTACGAACTAGTTTCATCATTTTCGTTTGGGTGGTAACTGTACAGATTGCTGCAGTTTTTTTGCTTCATATTTCCATAATATGAACAAATTGTGATACTTTTAATTAAGAGATTGGTTTTGATTTTATTGGAACTTTTGCACGTTAAAGAATCTAGTATGCGGCTGTGGCATTCCATAAACAAATCTGATGTCACCTTGCAATTACTTTGTTCCTTGAATAATCAAAACGGTCTACAATTTGCAAATATAAATCTATATAGTCTTTCAGTTTTATGCCCGTTCGCCCTATTCGTTTTCACTAAAGTATATTTTCTTATTTTAACTACACCTGCCTTTCAATATTGCAGGAGCTGGGATAATTGCTATGGAGTTATTTCCTGGATTTTCTCTTTATCGTGGGTTGTACGAGTTTTCCCAATACGCGTTTACTGGAAATGATATGGGAACTGACGGCATGCGATGGACTGATCTAAGTGATAGTAACAATGGAATGAGAGAGGTCTTGATCATTATGGCAGTGGAATGGGTAGTTGTTCTCTGTGTTGCATATTATGTAGATCAAGTTACGTCGTCTGGTAAAAGTCCTTTGTTTTTCCTAAAGAGGCGTAGAAAGGGACTCTCGTCATCCTTCCGTAAACCTAGCTTGCGGAGGCAGGGGTCTAAAGTTTTTGTTCAACTGGAGAAAGCTGATGTTCAGCAAGAGGTAAACAGCTATGTATTACTTGTAGAGAGTAGTATCTGTTCATTGAAATTACTGATGATTATTCTGAGGTTGAACTATTGGATTTGACTGATGATTATTAGTGATAATTAAAAAATGTTCTACACTCTTCTATATATGTAAGGGGGAGCTTTTTTAAAGTCTTTTGCTTATGAAAGAAGAAATGCATGTCAAAATCCAACCATAATGGGTAATTTGTAATTTTGAAATTGATCCTTATTACTGTTTCATTTTCCCCTTCTGTGTATGTGTGTCTGAGAGAGAGAGAGAGAGAGAGAGAGAGAGAGAGAGAGAGAGAGAGAGCATAAATGCCCCATAACTCTGATTGTTGTAACTATCCCTAATTAAGATTACTGTTTGATGAGTATCGTAGTTAGGTTCCTATTGTCCTTGCAATAGATTGCATTTATCCATGTAAGTGAATTTTCTTCATTAGCACTCCGAACATATTGTTTCTTAGAGTGTTTTCTTATGATTCATTCTCCAACCCGTTGCTTGAATTAAATAGGGTGTATTATCTCACT